AGAGACAAGACAGGGTGCCAGAGGGAGCCGCCGGACACAGGAGGACAGTGGAGAAGTGAGCAAGGACATGACCCCCAGAGGGGTCTGCCAGAGAGACTGCAACTGGCCGACCAAGCGGCGTGAGTGTGGTGCGGTCTCGAAAGAAGGAGCGAGAAGCCCCTAAGTCAAGGGTGAAGGTGAGGGAGGCCGAAGCCGACGCGGTACCTGAGAGCGCAGACTCACCAGCACCTGAGGAAGCAGAAGCACTGGCACCTAGAGAAGCAGCCTCGCTAGCACCTAGAGCAGCAGCCTCACCAGTACCTAGAGCAGTAGTCTCAATGCCCGGGTCGGGCGGAAAACACCAGTAAGAGTCACCCTCATCACTAAAAGTCACAACATACATGGCAGCAAGAATAGCATCAAAGTCAAGGTCAAAGATAGCTACTCCCGCCCTAGACAGCTCACCCCAACGGGGGATCTCAGTGGCCTCCGGGAACTGGTGACGCCAAGCGTCCGTTAGGCGGCCAAAGCAGTGCTGGGTGGAGTGCGCATCCCCACACTACTCACCCTCGCAGTCGTCGGTGCGTAGGACGTAGGTGCACGGACCAGTACCCCCACCCCGCTGACGTGCAGCGTACCACTCACGGAGCTGCTGAGGGGGGGGGATGTCATGAGTTCGCTGCTGCTGCTGCTGCTGCTGCTGGCGCGGACCACCACCGGAGCCGACCCTCTGCGCAGCGCCACCCCGACCAGCTCCACCTCCTCCGCCACCGCCTCCTCCACCGCCGCCACCTCCGCCACCTCCGCTCCCAGCGCCACCGCCGCCGCCGCCTCCGCCTCCACTGCTGCCAGTGACACCTCCACCCCCACCACCACTCCCACCGCCACCCCCACTCCCTCCGCCGCCTCCACCGCCTCCTCCACTGCCCCCGCTAGCTCCTCCAGCGCCCCTGCCCCCCTTGCCCTTGCCAGGGCGGCGTCTCCCGCTAGGTGTAGACGCCGCACCGACCGACTCAAGCCCAACGAGGTCGGCCGCAGCAGCAGAGGCAACAGAGGGCAAAAGTGGGGAGGGGGAACACCCCTCAAAGATGGGGGTGCGAGGGTCACCACGAGAGGCTCCTAGAGCGACTATGCGCTTTTCTGCTGCTAGGAGGGCCTTCTCGAGGAGGTCAACGGTGAGAGTGGTGGGGTAAACTAAGAGGAAGTGGTCTCGGACTACGCGAAGAGAGTCAGAGAGCCGGGTGACTATGTAGTAGAGGGTGATGTACATGGGGGGGGGGGTTCTTGGCGCAGAACTCAGCAGGAAGCGCAGCGCGGTAGCGAGTGTCACTAGTGCAGAGGTGCGTAATGAGGTCAGCGACTGTGGGAAAGGCAGCAAGGTCAGGGAAGATGTACGGTAGCATGAGGCGGCTCAGTGCAGCAGTGGCAGGGGAGGAGTAGCGTGCAACTACAGCGTCGTACAAGGTCTGAGCACTCTTGTACTGGCTAAAGTGCGCACGCTCAGAGGTAGGCAGGTGGCGACGCACAGCAAGACGTGCAGCAGCATCGCACGTGGCCCACTGTGAGCGAACAGTGGCAGGAGAGGCACCAGAGGTGAGGTCAAAGAGGGAGAGACCGTCCGCCCTATCGCACTGTAAGAAAAGATGCAGGTCATCTACCCAGACGTCAAAGTCAATGGCCCGACCCTCAGCGTCAAAAGCGAGGACACTAGGGGTAGCGATGACACCAGTAGACTAGTAGTGCGAACAGTGGGGTAAGGGCAGTGCAGTGGTAGAGGCGCTGCTCTTACCGGACAGGGCGGCTCGGGCGGCTCGGCGGCTCGGCAGGAACTGCAGCTCGGCGGCTCGGCAACTCGGCGGCTCGGGCGGCTCAGGCGGCTCGGCGGCAACTGCGGCTCGGGCGGCTCGGCGGTACGGCAGTTCGGCTCGCGGCGCCCCGGCGGCTCGGGCGGCTCAGGTGGTGCGGCGGCTCGGGCGGCGCGGGTGGCGCTGGCGGCTCGGTGGTGACGGCGGGGCCGCGTGAAGGCGGGGCCGAGGCCGGGAAGGGAGGGCGAGGGGGCCAGCAGCGGCTGGGCCGGGGCCGGGAAGGGCAGCTCGGGGCCGCACGGGTGGGCGACGGGGCCAGGAAGGGCAGCTCGGGGCCGCAGGGGTATGCGACGGGGCCAGCAGAGGCGGGGCCGGGTCGGGAAGGGCGGCGTCGGGGCCGGAAAAGGGCGGCGCCGGGGTCGCGGGGTAGGCGACGCAGGGCGGCGGATCGGTGCCGGGAAGGGCGGCGCGGGGGTCGCGGGGTAGGCGACGGGGCCGCAGGGCGGCGGATTGGGGCCGGGAAGGGCGGCGCCGGGGCCGCAGGGCTAGGCGACAGGGGCCGCGAGGGTGGCGCGACGCAGCCGCTAGGGCGGCGCGACGGGATCAGAGAGGGGAGCGCTCCGGGCAGGAAAAAAAAAAAAATCGAATCGGTGGGCCCTAGGAACAGTTCCCACGAGGGAACCTGCTCGATACCATGAGAAAACTAGAACGAGGAATGAATGACTAAGTGAAAGTTGGGTACAAATACAAACCCCTAGAAAGCTGTACCCCATATGTGCTACCCCACTATAGCCTACAATAGCTATGTCAAATCTGGCACTCCGAAGCAGCACTATGCGCCGAAATTCATGCTGAGCAGCAAGACATGGACTTGCAAGAAGAGCGACACAAGAGAAAAACGTCAGTACCTGAATTTGCGTTTCACACTCAATGGCGCTACAACAACAACAACAACTGGCATCAACCAAAACCCGTACCTCCGTTCTGCCATCTCTGCAAGACTTCAGGGCACCCTCGCATACACTGCCCGAATCGAGAGTAGTCAACACCGCCACAACGGCAATTTCGTCCTGCAAGTAGTCAAGTGACGTCCACACAAGCGCTCCCCACAGGTCAACTACAGTCCTCAACGACACCATCAACGCAATCTGCACAAGGAAGAAGAAACATCGTCAGTTGCATGGCAAGACTGACTGACTCCTGCATAACCGAGTCACCACCACACTACTCATCGGAAGAGCAACTCGACAACAGCACCCCTCGCCGCGAGTCACTTCAACCAAACCCAACGTATGCAGCCATCGCTCAAAGCGAGCCGTCCGGAAAAGATACGTGGTTCGTGGACAGTTGCTGCGGACAACACATGTGCTCTTCACCTCCTGGACGCACCCACCGGATCTTGATCGTGACTTCAGCCCCGAAGGATTTTGGTACTCGCACACCATTCCTAAGGCAGAACGAACAAAAGCATTAGCAACGATTCAACATTCGGCAACAGCAAAGACAACATCGGCAGCAGCAGAGACAACATCGGCAACAGCAGAGAGAACATCGGCAGCAGCAGAGACAGCATCGGCATCAATCGCGGGTGTCAGTAGATCTGCACTGTGGATGCCCGATTGATCCTGGAGAGGGTTACAGACGCGTTCGCCTAGGGGGTTATGGGCGCACTGACCTGCTACTGAAACAAGCCCTTTTATCCCAATGGTCTAGTGGTTGGGATTGTGACATGGTATCAGAGCGGTCTCGGGTTCGATTCCCGGTGTATGCACATGTAGGCCGTTGCCGCTGTGCTTAGTCCTGGGCCTCCCAATGTGGGGGGGTGTCAGTAGATCTGCACTGTGGATGCCCGATTGATCCTGGAGAGGGTTACAGGCACGTTCGCCTGGGGGGTTATGGGCGCACTAACCCGCTACTGAAACAAGCCCTTTTATCCTAATGGTCTAGTCCTTCAACTCCACCGGCTCCAATCAACGACGACACTCCACCGACTCCTGCGCAGCAATTGAACCTAATACCACGAGAAGTGCATCGAAGCGCAAACTTCACCGCAAGCTTCTACTCCAACTCCGACCTGTACCATCGCTCACCCGGACATCGAGCTGGCGAAGACATCTGGCACGCACACATGGGACATCCAAGCAACACAGTGTTAAATAACACGGTCAGAGCAGGAGTGCTCGACAAAAACTTGTCAAACTCTTATTCTATAGTCTGTGTAGGCTGTAGTGGGGTAGACAATATGGGATACAACACTTCTAGGTTTTCCTGCTTGTACCCACCTGCTTGCTAGTTCATTCATTCCTCGTTTCTTCACATGGTATCAGAGTAGGTTCCCTAGTGGGAACGCTTCTCAGGGCCCACCACTAAAATCGATTTTTTTTTTCCTGACCGGAGCGCGAGTCGCCCCTGCCCGAGGCACGCCCCGTTGGCCGCCCTCACGTCGCCTCTCACGGCCCCTCGTGCCACCCTTACCGGCCCCATCGCCACCCCTTACGGCCCCGTCGCCGTCCTTTGCGGCCCCGTCGCCGCCCCTCTAGGTCCCTCTCGGCCCCTTCGCGGCCCCATCGCCGCCCCCTCTAGGCCCCTCGCGACCCCTTCTCGGCACCATTGCCGCCCCTAGCGGCCCCGTCGCCGCCCTTCGAGGCCCCTCGCGGCCCCTTTGCGGCCCCTGTCGCCGCCCCTAGCAGCCCCGTTGCCGCCCCTATCGGCCCCGTCACGGCCCCTTTGCGGCCCCGTCGCCGCCCCTATCGGCCTCGTCGCCGCTCCTAGCGCCCCCCTCACCGCTCCTAACGGCCCCGTCGCCGCCCTTTGCGGCCCCGTCGCCGCCTCTAGCGGCCCCGTCGCCACCCTTAGCAGCCCCGTCGCGGTCTCCAACGGCCCCGTCGCCGCCCTTCACGGCCCCTTCAGCTGCCAAGCAGCCGAGCCGCCGAGCCGCACAGCCGCCGAGCCGCCCAGCAGCCGAGCCGCCCAGCAGCCGAGCCGCCCAGTAGCCGAGCCGCCCAGCAGCCGAGCCGCCCAACAGTCGAGCCGCCCAGCAGCCGAGCCGCCCAGCAGCCGAGCCGCCCAGCAGCCGAGCCACCCAGCAACCGAGCCGCCCAGCAGCCGAGCCGCCCAGCAGCCGAGCCGCCGTCGAGCCGCTACTGTTCCTACCGGCACGCACCGGCCCTACCCACCCGGACTGGTGAGAGCCCTCCCTGCTAGACAATTGCTGTCATGGCTACCCCTAGTGTCCTTACCTTTGATGCTGAGGGTCGTGCTGTTGACTTTGAGGTCTGGGTCGATGACCTCCAGCTCTTCCTACAGTGCGATAGGGAAGACGGACTCTCCCTGTTTGATCTCACCTCTGGTGCCTCTCTTGCCCCGCCTGCTACTGCTGAAAGCACTGTTCGCTCACAGTGGGCCACACGCGATGCTGCTGTCCGTCTTGCTGTGCGTCGCCACTTACCGACCGCTGAGCGTGCGCACTTTAGTCAGTACAAGAGTGCTAGGACCTTGTACGACACTGTAGTTGCACGCTACTCTTCCCCTACCACTGCTGCTCTTATCCGCCTCATGCTGCCGTACGTGTTCCCTGACCTTGCTGCCTTTCCCACAGTCGCTGACCTCATTACGCACCTTCGCACTAGTGACACTCGCTACCGCGCTGCGCTTCCTGCTGAGTTTTGTGCCAAGAACCCTCCCCCCATGTACATCACCCTCTACTACATAGTCACCCGGCTCCCTGACTCCCTTCGCTTAGTCAGGGACCACTTCCTCTCAGTTTGCCCCACCACACTCATCGTTGACCTCCTCGAGGAGCGCCTCCTGGCAGCAGAGAAGAGCATAGTCGCTATAGGAACCTCTCGTGGTGACCCTCGTACCCCCGTCTTTGAGGAGTGTTCCCCCTCCCCCCTCTTGCCCTCTGTTGCTTCTACTGCTGCAGCCGACCTCGTTGGCTTCGAGTTGGTCGGCGCTGCGTCTGCCCCTAGCGGGAGACGCCGCATCGGCAAGGGCAAGGGGGGCAAAGGCGCTAGAGGGGCTGGCGGGGGTGGTGGAGGTGGCGGTGGAGAAGGTGGAGGGGGTGGGGATGGTGGTGGGAGTGGTGGCGGGGGTGGAGGTGTCGGTGGCAACAGTGGAGGCGGAGGAGGCGGCGGCAGTGGCGGTGGGAGCGGAGGCGGCGGAGGTGGCGGCGGCGGCGGCAGTGGAGCTGGTCGCGGCTTTGCACAGAGGAGTAGCTCCGGTGGTGGTCCGCGCCAGCAGCAGCAGCGCACTCGTGAGACCCCATCCCCCCAGCAGCTTCGTGAGTGGTACGCTGCGCGTCAGCAAGGTGGGGGTACTGGTCCCTGTACCTACGTCCCCCGTACCGGCGACCGTGCTAGTGAGCAGTGCGGGGGCTCGCACTCCACCCAGCGCTGCTTCGGCCGCTTGACGGACGCTTGGCGTCACCAGTTCCCTGACGCCAGTGAGATCCCTCGCTGGGGAGAGCTATCTAGGGCGGGGGTTGCAACAAATGATGATGGCAGCTGCTGCAGGCGGCTCATAGCTGCCTCCCTGTCACACCACCTCCCCCATAGTCCGCCACTCTCACGACCTCCCCCCACAGTAGGAGCGCACACGGCAGCAGCAAGTGCGACAGCTGCAGTGGGGACCACGGGAGGGTGGGCGGGGACAGCTGCTCGGGCGCGACGAGCAGGATAGGGGGCCGAAACGGAGGCGCGACGAGGCGACGTCGGGGCAGCTGGCCGCGAACGACGGGCGATAAGGCAGCGCGACGAGCAGAGCGCCGCCTTCGCCCCGTCGATCGCACTAACGGTCGAAACCGTCGCGGATTTTCACGCGACGGTCGCACTGACGACCCGATCGCAGCAGAAAGTCGTCGAGAGGGAGGGCCGCCATGACAGGGTCAAAAATTGGCAGGCCCATTGATCGAAAACTAGCTCGATACCATGTCAAAGCAGTAGATTGAGCTCATACGCCATAACTAAGGTTTTGGTATTGGAAGGTAGTGTGGGAGAGAGGTGGCCAACAAAAGAGGCGGTTCACTATAGAGCAAACAGTAAAAATAGGCAAGCAAAAGCAAGAATGGTGCACCACCAACTAGAATGGCTATAACTACAGTCCTACAGGCTGTTACATATAGAAAATATAACTTATATTTTCGGACATGCTTTACCTGCCCCGAAGCTGACTTACCACATCGGCCGTTCGCTTCTCACCACAACCCCAGCGCACCAGCTTACACACCATTCGAGAAAGTGTACAGTGACATCTTGTACAACCGGGAACCTGGACAAGGAGCATACAGCTACACCATCTTGTTCATCGATGCCGCGACGCGTTACGTTTGGCACCTCAACCTACCGAGCAAGGACATGGCCTTAGAGGCTTTCGTCGCTTGGCTCCCAGTAGCAGAACGTGAATAAGGTGTGAAACTAAAAAGCTTCCAGTCGGACGGAGGAGGAGAATACACCTCACAGAGGTTCAAGCAGTACTTGGCAGAAAGAGGGATCAAGAGGCTCATCTCTCTTTCCTACGCTCACCAGCAGCAAGGCATAGCAGAAAGGATGAACAGAACTCTTCAGAACACCATGCGCAAGCTGCTACGTGACATGCGGCTACCCAACCACCAGTGGCCCGAAGCAATGGATCACGCTGTCATGCTGTACAACTTGCTCTCGTCATCATCGCTCCCGAACAACGCATCACCGCACCTGCTATGGACAGGAAAACAGGGCAGCACAAAAATGTTAAGAGTTTTTGGTTGCATGGTACAGTACCGACCCTCATCTGCACGAGCCGGCCGATTCTCCCAACGATCACAGTGGGGACTACACCTGGGCATCGAAAGAAATTACAACGCGTGGAAGATTTTCGACGTCCACTCCAAAGAAACAGTAGCAGCACGTGATGTAATTTTCTACGAACGACTCACCCTTCCAACATACTTTGCCAACCTGGAAGAAGATCGGGACCCCACAGGTGGCTTCCATGGTGACGGAGCCTTCGCCTCGGCAATAGACGAAGCTCACTGGGACGAGCAGAACGTGGATGAAGCCTCAGAGGAAGCCGGACCTCTCCCTTACTGCTCCGTTGACGTCCTAATGGATGACGAAAATCCTCGCGAAAGCGCCAACACCGAAGTATTTTACCACTTCGCCGACAACGGCTACGTTACACCTGCAGAAGTCAACACCAATGAAGCAGAACACATAGGGCACAACTTCATACGTGACCCAGAAGCAGGTGACGAAACAGCTTATCCCGAGGACACAACACTCCCCCGCTACACACAGAGTGGTCTCCAGATACTCAGCCTCGTGACCGCAGTCCACGGCACGGAGATTCCTAAGGAGCATGCCACAGTTCACGAGGCTCTGGGGGGGGGAGCATAGGGAGAAATGGCGCGAAGCCATGGACAGGGAGCTGAAAGCACTGGAGGAACGCAACACTTGCAAAGTTGTTCCCATCAGCGTGGCACAAAACAAGACAATACTCACCAGGAAATGGGTCTTCCGTGTGAAGACAAAGGCAGATGGCACCATCGATAAGTTCAAAGCGCGCTGGGTCGTGCGCGGTTTTGACCAAGAGCACGGACGTGACTTCACTGAGACGTTTGCCCCGGTTAGCCGACACACTTCACTTTGAATTCTTCTCGCGATCTCCGCCATGAAGAAGAAGCTGCGGCAAATCGACGTCGTCAAAGCATTTCTCTACGCACCTGTTGACGCCGAAATCTTCGTCGAACTTCCACATGGCTCCAACGGAGAGCCCAACCAAGTCTGTCAGCTACTGAAGTCCCTGTACGGCATCAAACAGGCTCCAAAACTATGGCAGCAATATCTACACGCTCGACTTACCCGCATCGGATTCCGACAGCTACCACACGACCAGGGCATGTATCGGCTCACGAAAGGCGACGACTACATCTTATTAATCGTCTATGTGGACGACCTGCTTTACATCGGATCGACTGACGGCATCACTACTTGGTTCGAAGGGGAGCTGCAACAAAACCTCACGCTCACGGTCTCGTCTACCGTCACGCAGTATCTCGGCCTCAACATCCAGGAAGAAGAAGACACGATCTACCTCAACGCTGTGAAATATGCCGACACTATCGCCAAACGCTTCGGACTCACCCCAATCACCATCTCCACGTCTTACCGCTACACCGCAGGAAATCACAAGGAAAGTTCCGCTCTACTCAAGCCCGCAGGCATACGGACTACCAGAGAAAGCTGGGGTGCCTCCTCTTCGCGGCCGTCACCTGCCGTCCGGATCTATCGTACTCCGCAAGTCAGCTCGCGACCTACCTCAGGAAACCTGAAGCAGAACACATGGCGGAACTCGACCGCACTCTTCACTACCTCGTTAGCACTCCGACGATCAGCCTAACCTATCTCAAGAACGGAACCTCGACACCCAAGTTAATCGGCTACGTCGACGCCGATCACGCTGGCAACTCCGACAACAGACGCTCGCGCACCAGCTAGATCTATCGCTACGAACCTATCGGACCCATCTCGTGGCAGTCAAGCAAGCAGGAGTTAATCGGCCTCTCTTCAGCTGAAGCATAATATATCGCACTATGCTCAGCCACCAAGGAAGGACCGTACCTTCGCGAACTTCTAGAGGAGGCGAAGCTGGCTCAGTTACCCAACTTCTCCTTGTTCTGCGACAACCAGTCGGCAATTCGCATAGCCAACAAAAATGGATTCGCGAACAGGACGAAGCATATCGCCCTGCGATACTTCTTCGTGAAGGACGAGATCGAGAAGGGGAGACTCGAATTGTCCTACTGCCCCATGTTCGAGATGGCAGCTGATTACTTGACCAAGAAACTCGGAAAGCAGAAGTTTGAGTATTGCATGCTGCTGACTGGACAGAGCCACGTCACCAGCAGCGACACTCCAGAAACGAAGGGGACTGTTGGAAACAAGTAACTTAAGTGCCTCTGTCGTGTCGAAACACCAAGTCAGAAGCGAAGCGAAACATATCGAAGCATCAACGAGTCAACCCTGGGAGGTTGAGCAGCTGCTGAAGGATACGCGAAAGTCAAAGGTCAGCGACCTTTGACCTGACAAGTACAGCGCGACAGCAAGGACAAACAACTGACTCTTTATTGAGCTGTTGCCTGAGTCGTCACTGTATCAAACCGCAACAACAATAGTAAAACAGTTATAAGTTATAACCTTTGATATTCCCTTGTACTCCTATAAAAGGCTTGTATCCTTTTGTTTTAATTAATCTACTTTGCCCTCACATACCAGCGCAAGGTGGTTCAAAACTGTTATAGTCACAATAGGCTCCAATGTGCCTAAAACGAAAGATAGAGTGCACAGCCGGATTTCTGCACAGCGGCTTCAAACGTTCATAGCGTTCTGGTCACAGCTTCAAATGACCTGATTCAACTTGGATCTGGAGCGTCTGAACGTCGCCTACAATAGTCAATTTAGATCGCACAATTTCACCAAGTATTGACGACACAGTGTCGGTTTGAACGAACGGCACTATGGCAGCCACTATAGTCTTAGAACACAAAATAGGAAGAGATGTGAAGAGTTACGAGTTGGGAATGACTCCCAGCTCCTACAAACCCCAAGAGCCGAGGTAAAGTGATGTGGAACAGTGCCACACTGTCCCCAACCACGAAGGGTCTCGAAACTACCCTGCACTAGGGCCTACACCAAGTGAAATGTTACACTACACAAATTATTGTAACTATCTTCAATATCTTGAGGTGTACCCTTTTGGCGAGCTTCGAAATCACTTGAGGCTTGACACCAAGGCTCGGGCTCTTCATCACAAACTCATCCTTGAGTTCTTGATAGGTCTGCTGCAAACACCTGCAACACTGTTATGTGATGCTATCATTTGCATTCACGTCTGTCTGCCTCCCATCATGTGTTTGTGCGTTGCATGCGTGGTGTGAGCGTGTGCAAGAATTTGTGTTTGATGTGGTTTGGTTTTTCAGAGTGAGTGTATGTTATTTGGCTTGAGCAGATATCTGAAGTGATTCCTCTACTCAAGAGCTTTCCGACGAACCAAGAATCGTCGCGATTGGAGCACAACCAAGAAAGTTACGAACATTGGAGTTCGTATGCTTATATATTTTGGTTGCAGCTACTTTGGGAAGTTGTGGGGTTGACTCAATATGGGGTACAGACTTTTGGGGGTTGGGAAATTCGTCAACATCACTGTAGTTGCTGCCAAGTGGTTGGGAGAAACCAAACCAGGTTGGCAAGTGTGGCCAAGTTGGGTTAAGGTGGATGGCATGGGTTGGGAAAGTGACAAAAGTGAAAGTGGGGTTGCCTATGGAGAGGGGAATTGTGTGGCATGGGGTTTCCTTGGTTGGGGACTGTCTTGGGACCTTCCCTCTCGTCCTCCTCATCCCATCCCACCTGGTTTATTGCTACTCTAACTCTCTTG